TGTGAGGCAGCTGTGAAGCCAGGAGGACTGATACTGCCTGGGTCCTGGAGATTTCCTTGAAGCAGAAGGATTTGCACATGGGTGAGAACTGACCTGATATTCAAGCTGCCAATTTACCATGACAATGGAGGCTCTGGGGAGAGGGGCTGCTGCCCTGGTGTGGCAGGGAGACTGGCTGGGTTTGGGGAACAAAGGCAGGTGAGGTGCTCCTCAAGGAGGAAAGGGATCGAGCCAGCCCAAGGAAGCACAGCGGCGCTCTTGGGGTGGGAATGGGCAGGTGTGAGATTAGAGACGCGGTGAAGCTGTCGGTGTGTTTTGTTTTCAGGCAAAGCTGGAAACACTCTTGGAGCATTTTGTAGAAATAAGCATGCATTTGCCTTAGCTGGATGCAGCCTGCAGTCTTGAAGTGGGAGCAAAATTATCTTTATCATTAAGCTTAAAGGCCCTGGAAAAATGTGAGAGGGCTCACAAAACTCCTGCAAAATATTAGCAAAGTACATCTGAAGTGTGTCATTTTGCAAGAGCAGTAAAACATTTTTTCACTTCCACAAAGACCAAAGGAGTAGAAACACAAACGCTGACTTTCCAAGTATCAAGAGTAACATCAAAGGGCAGTCAATAACAGAGAGCATTAAAAGGCACTTTACTTAAATTGTGTGGAGGGTCCTAGATCACACTGAACTGGACAGGTAGGAACTGGTCTTTCATTTCTAGAAGAGGCCACTGCATGGCCACCCCCACAGGTGTCTGAGGCTCTTGAGTGGATATGAAACAACACAGACCATGCCTCTGATCTCTTTATAAACCATGCCCAAGTGCAGATTTACCTTTGCTCTATGTGTGGGTCAAGCTGGTTATAACCATGTTGTCCATAAGGGGCAGAGGTTGTGTCTGTACTGGATTCCTGCCATCCATCTGGGTTTCCATGCCAGGCAAGCCAATTTCCTTGCACCTAGAGCAAGCCAACTTGTGGGCAGCATCGATGGCTGAGCACCTCAGAGTGATCCCAAGATCATAGCTAACACAGCAGAGCCAGGCACAAACACTAGAAACTGGAGTAAAATACGTTCATAGAGGGAGAAACTCCACAGCTGCTAGCTGGACATGGAAAACAGCTATATCTATTGCCTGAATCAAAGTTACCCGAGACTACCTTCTAGGGCTGTCAATAGTCACACAACGTTTAAAAAGCCATGTCTAAATGAAATTAAAGTGAGAGCTATTACACACTTTTAAAGTCATTCCAGTTCAGTTATGAAAATGTATCCATGGTTTATTTGCCTAAGACCAGAGCGCTGGGATCCTTGTTTACCAAGTAAATCAAACACCCCATACGGCAGGGGGAAACGATCCACGAATGCAAGTCTTAACAAGCCTCCTCATTACAGTGAGATCAGAGTGTGCCATGTGTGTTGATCATTTTCTCAGGGCTTTTTCTTCTCCTCTTCCTGCTTTTTGTCAACACTCCTGACTTCCCGTCTGCTTTCTATTTACAGTTGTTAAAGGGAGCGACAAAACCACACACCATTAGTTTGGAGTGGGACAGAAACAGGGATTAAAATGTGAATAAAAATTAACCTGATGAATGGTTCTTTCCAATACACAAGTTTGCAAGGATAAGGATATACAATTATGTAGGTAAACTGATTGCATAGAGTTTTAAAGCAAAAAACTTTGTCATAGACCGTAAGCCCAGCATACGGGCACTATATTCCCTTGGTTCTCTCTGCAAAGAAGATAAAAAAGTTAATACAGGGCACAGTTTTGGAATATTTTCCTCTCACCACAGAAAACATGCTTTTTTGCAGTTGTGCCAAATCTGTCCCATCACTTTTAAGACACTTCTGCCTGTTCAAGTGAGATTCTTGGTTTGTAATTTTTCTATTCTCGGATGTGTTTATCAATAATGCTGCTCAAAACCTCCCAGCAACTTCCCCTTCGCACTGCTGGTCTCCTGCTTCCCATCAACACATCAGGCACCGTGTGGGTACCTCTCAGGTGTTGAATTATGGCACCAATGAGATTCCGGACCATTTACTCCTCTCTACCAGAGATTTGTGTACCAGAGAAGCGACCTGAGCTTTCCTGATGTGCTCTTTCCCCAGGTGAGACTCTACTCATCATTTACTTTTGACACTTACTGACCCTTCCTGAGCCTGCAGGATCTCGCCAGCTCGCTTGACTGCACAGACACTCACTGAGCACCACAATCCATACCCCTCCAAAGAGGCATCTCCCTCAGGTTTTTTTTCACTGGTAGAGCCTTAGCCTCATTTCCAACATGTCTGCTCAAATTTAGTGCCCCTTCCAGCAGGATTACACACCCAGTGCCTATCCCCGCTAATGCAACGGCTATTTTCTGTCAGCTTCATCCTCCACAGGCTCGGAGCAGGTTCATTCCCCCCGTCCCTGTGTCAATGGTGCTGTTCCTCACCCAGAAGACTCTTGCTCTGAGACTTTGAAAGCCAGCTCAGCATCTGTGTGTGCCTTCACAGCGTCAGGCACCACAGGTCTCCCCACTGTGCCTCTTCTCCCTCCCTGAATACTCACCCGCCTTCAGCCTCCAAATGCCCCCCCACGTACTCCCTCTTATCCACCTCAAATCTCCCCTGGTCACAACAGTAGACTCCCCATTTCATCTACTCTGAAGCGTACTGTGATGAATAAAGCTCCACTCAGGGATTTGAGAGAATAGCTGTGAATAATCAGCTGAGATTTTCTGTCCAGACCCAGTTCTAACAATTTAGCTTTAAGAGAAAAGAAACAGTTGGTGCTAAAATAGTAATTTGGCATATGTGCTTCATTGCTTATCAGCTCATTTGCTCAACAACAAAGACAGGAAAATGCTGCAGGGGTCATTTTGCCAGGGGAAGGCTCAGAAAACCTGGAAGTCTGTGATGAAAATCATTTAAATGGCTGAGTCGATGGTCAGAATGAGTGTCTGTGGCGATAAATGGGAACATATTAAAATGGTATGGGAAGTTTAATCTGTGATTGATCTCCCAGCAATTACCCTGCTTTCTAAATCTCTCCATATCATTTAACGAGGTGATTTCAATATTCTAATAAAATATTAAAACAACAAACATCATCTTCTGTTTGAATTACACTTCTGCCTCAATTACAGAGAAAGGAGTCATTGAGAAGTCCTGAGATTTAAAAAATCCTTTCAAATCATGTCAGTTTTATACAAAACAGAAATCTTCCCTCTCTGTTGATTTCTTGGCATAAAACACCACTGTTTTGCAAGTGCTGAAATACCTGCTTTTACAACATTTCTCTAAAACTGGTTACTTATTCCTCCATTAGAAATGAAAAGCATTGCCACTCATGCCCCATGATTGAGTACTTTATATCTGTTCTCTGGAAAACTGAGACCAACAGGTATAGGCCCAGCTCAAACACTTTGAGAACCGAGGAAAAAGTTGCGATGAAAAGCTCAGGACATCAGGAATCGCAGTGGATCAGTCCACTTGTCAAACACGCCTTGCAGCCATCACTGGGAGGTCACTGGGGTTCCCAGCCCACTCTGCAGCACTACTTCAGCATGAAGCATGAGGATTGTTAGGGTTTTTTTTAGTTATTTTTTCATTTACAAAGGTGCCTGCTGCGACTACTGGTCTGATTTCCGTACTTCAAAGAGCTCATGCCAAAGTGCTCATGACACATCACCAGACCCATGCCTGCCATTGATCATCTTTGATATATGCAGCAACCACTGCACCATGCCAGAGGATGACTGCAAGCAGCCCCGGCCTCTCCCAGACTCCCTGTTCAGTAACCGCATGGAGTGACCCACGGCTGCAGCATTTGCCCCAGGTTTGCCAGACCTGTTCCCCACAAACTGTTCATCAGCCAAACAGGGTCAACTTCATGTTTCTTAAAGTGTTTTGCTGCCAAATATCTCAGAGCAGTTTAAGTGTGTGTACATATCTGTCTTGTACAAAGCAACTTGACACCTTAAAAGTCGAGGGCGAAACTACTTCCCCTCATTACCTCTTCCTTCACTACCTGCAATTTTGGGAAGTGACATATAACTACTGCAGTGTGCAGGACCCATATCTCTATTTTCCATCGACTTGAGACTAGATGCTTTATCTTTGTCTGTATTCACCCATCAAAACCAAATAAAAACTCAACTAATCCCTGACAGCTGAGGTCACACCATGTCTTGATTTCAGTGAGTGCAAACACAGCCCTCTTAGCA